ATTTATGCATTATTATTTGTACATTTGCCCAAAAGCAGTCAAAATGACTTCCTTGGGCAATCTAATGTTAAAGATCTCTTACTATCAAGGACTTCTATTAATAAGTTAATAAATGGTATTAAGTACTAGTCAACACAGCAGTGTTTTATATACAATTTATAGCATGTAATATAACAAATTCATTTAACAAATAATTATATATTGTTATAATGTACATATTAATTGTTAATAATAATGTACAAAGTGGCGGATTAAGACCGTAGGGGCCTTAAGCGATAAAAATTTCGCCTCCTTCCCTCAAAAAAAAATTTCGGAGGAAACTCTCATTATGTTATGAATAAAAAAGAAAAGTTGTTGAAATAATATCAATACCTTGATTTTATATAATCGTTTATTATAATATTAGGAATTTACACGTATCCAGTATGTATTAGCGTGAACAATATGGTTAGTGTGTATAACGTCGTGAGACCATAAGACGAACTGAGAACAAGTGAAGAACGCTCCTACTCCTTGGTTCGAGAGCTGTAGTCCAGCAGTGCTGCCACCAGCGTGGAGGTATTTTTTCCCTCGAGGCTCGCTTCCCCTGTTTTTCGCCCGTATTTCGATCCCCACTACTATTCCCCTCATGCGTGCTCATGCGCGTTCGCGAAGCTCTTCGCAGCGCTATGGTCCCCACCATGTTCGCGTCGTCCCCACTTTCCGGCCGAGGGAAAAAATACCTCCACGCTGGCTGCCACACGTCTTATCATAAAAGAAAAAAAAAAATCCCACTTCCTCTGTGGCTGTACTTGCATATATTATTGGCGTATTCCAACAAAAGTAATTAAAAATTCCATAACATAAGACATTACATAAATTTATTAAAAAACATAGATTTGACATATTTTTTATATGAATTTCCGTCTTGCTTTATTTATTGCAAATTGATCAATTATTTTGGCACTATCAGTACGGCTTAAAATTTTCTCTTCTACATATAAAATAACCATATTATTTAACCTTTCTTCTCCCATAGTACTCCTTCAATAATTTTTTACACGCTTTGAAACATAGAAGTTAAAGAAATAGTTAAAAAAATTTTTGTTCTTCGATAGATATGAGGTTCCAAATATCGGCAATTCTTAAGAACCGGGCAGACATGCCCTACGTGCAAACCTCCATACAAGCAGTTATCCTTAAGGGGCCTACCCAGTGTGAAATTTTCAAAAAATCGATTTATTCTTTTTTGCATTTTTCGAAAGTTTATACCTTTAAAAATATCATACAAAAATCTCAAGTTTGGATTTCAACTAGTTTTCGAGTGGCAACCTTCTAATAGTATAAGTAATAATGTAATAGTTAATACTTTAAACGCGTTTTCCTCGAAACAGTGTTTTTCAAATTTTCTACAGCTCTAACTCAAAGACCAATTGTCCGATTGGCTTGAAATTTTAACAGTGTTTTGGACATGCTTTATTGTAAAGTGAACTAGGATATTCTTGATTAGATAAAAATTGTAATTTTGGCAACGAAAAAACGACAATTTTTTTATGGAAAAATCGAAAAATTTCTACGCCATTTTGTCAGATCTCAATATTTCTAGTTCATTCGATAGAGAAACCCTTCTAGTTTAACAGGATATTTTTCTTTTTTTTCGGGCATCTTTATCATTGCAGCAGTGGAGGCACTTTTTTTTTGGCGTTTCGGGAGATAGCGCATAACTCGGTCGCCTTTGGTTATTTTTGTACTAAAAAATAAATTCGTACACTTCAATAGTAGGCAAATACATCCATAAAGTTTAAAAACATTTCATGGAATACTTCTCTTAAAAAAAATTTCCAACAGTTACCTAAGTTTCGGGCGGTCACACTGGGTAGGCCCCTTAAAAAGGATTTGCCACTAACAGATATAAAAACTTGTTATTATTAATTGTTATAAACTAACTCGATACAGCGATTTTTTTTCGTGTTTTTAGCTTCACTCTCCATTCTTAAATTTTGAATAGGTCCATTTTCGAATTTGGACCATTAACAATCAAATTGCTCCCCTGTGGCGCCCCATATTGGGAATCATTGTCTTAAAGTGTACATATGCAAAATTTGGCGCAGATCGATGAAAAGTCTTAGGTCTTATAAAATGATACTTTAGTTTATTCTTTTAAAACTCCTCCTTAAAATTAGTGCTTTTTAAGACAAATTCAAATCTCCTCTTAAAAATAGAACTCTTTAATACTAAACTTATCCTTCCTTGGATTATTGATTAGAAAACTTCTTAATTTAAATATTTTGAGAGCCTTCTAATTTTTATTTCGTTATTAGGAAAACTCTGAAAACTTGTACAAAATATTATTAAAGTATGTTGTTCTACTTTGCGTTACCATTAAACATTTACTGAAATAAACAGTAAAAGAGTACAATGGATGGTTATAGATTTTTTACGGGGAATGCGATGATGTAAAGAAAAATATAGGTTTCCGTGGAAAAGAACGAAATAATAATGATCAAAGCCAATGAATAATACTTTTATCACCCCATCATCGCCCCAGTCGTAAATAAAAAGTTGTTTATTTTACTTTGTTTATACTTTTTTATAATATAACATTAAAATATATGAATGTGGAAATGATAATATACATTTAATAATGAAATTTTCACTTTATAGTCTTACTTTAAAATAAGCCCATTGTAGGGCCCTCTCTTGATACATTACCCAAATAGCGAGCTACCTTAACGAATTACCTCAAAAAACTTGTTAAAAACAAACTTGAACTGTGATGCTCATCTATAGCAAGATAATCGTGACATGAGAAGTGTTTATGAATATAAACTTCAATCGAGATAATTGAAATCCGCTATAACGAGACATGATCAAGTGCACGCGTACCAGCTGAAAATTGAGTCGATACTCTCGAAGCTTCACATGTTGACATGTTCTTTTATGTAGAATCACTTCCTTTTAGCTTGTACCACCATTTACCGAATGCCCTGTATATTTCAACATGTTTAAGCGTTTCTTCAGTTTACTATATATGTATGTATTTTGTCGATGCATTTCTGAAAGCTTAAATTCTGGTCGAAAATGAGGCTCACGATCTTCGCTTCCTATGCTGGCTCTGTTGTTATCTCCTTCTTGTTACTTACTAGTACCCTGCGGATTTTTATGCAAAATAAAATATTCATGGCACCAGTTGAAAATATGCATTTTAAATATATGTCCTTTTATCGTGCAAACATTTTAATAATGGGCGCTGCTTTCTTAATATCTTGTACATTTTTACACATGGCAAACATTCTTTATATACAGGGTGTTCCGGAAAGATTGTTAGAGCCGAAAATGGCAGATGGGGAGGAGCATTGTGAACAACAATTTCCTTTGGTAAAATACGAAATGGGGGTTGGTTACCGAGTTATTAACAAAAAACACGGACCAATCAGAGCGCTCGGTTGAGGCGGTCTCCGTTTCGGGAGCGCTGGCTCGGAGTCAGCCGGCCGACTTTTCTCGCGTTTGAACAAGCGCTCCGCTCAGTACGAAGCGTTTTAAGAAAATGACGAATAACAAACTACATTAATAACAATGCAAGGAAATTGTTGTTCGTTCGTTATTATGAATAACAATTAATACACTTAATCGTTATTCACGTGGAATGGATGAGATAGATTGTTGATAAT